CCCCCCCCAAACCCCACCAGGGCACAGGTCAGTCTTCAAAAGGTGGCCATTAAACAAAACAAACCCTTTCCTGGCTGACTTGGAGCCAAAGGACACCAGTGACAGGAGAAGTGACTTTCCCAGCAGGCAAAGCAAAGGAAGGAGGGCTGCAGGGAGCTGCACCCCACAAAAAACACTCTCTAGGAAGAGGCATCTGCAAAAATACTTTCACTGCAACTCTCTGTGTGTGTGTGTGGTGTGTGTGTGTGAGAACTGAGGGAGCAGCAGGCCAGGGTCAAGATGATCACATCCGTGCTGATCCTCTGCCTAATAATGTAGAGCTTCAGATATCAGCTGCATATTTTTTTGTATTGAATATTAAATAAATCCAGCCTGAGCAGTGTCATTTTAACAGACATCCTTTAGGGAGGCTCCGTTCTTTCAGAGCTGTTGGTGGCTTTGTGTGCAGAGACTATTCCATTGCTGTGGGGGAAGGGGCTGACAATGCTTTGTCACCTTCAGAGGGCTGAGAAAGCTTTGTGTGGCTTAAGGGAGTTCTCAGAGAGGTGATTCTACTTCAGCACCAGGGACCAACTTTCAAGGTTCTTAACTCCCAGAAAGGGTGCAGTTTTATAACCAAAGAAAAAAAAATTTATTTTTCCTTTACATACTTTGTTACAGAACAATTCAGTTGAACATACAGAAGTGATAGGACATTTATATGGAAATGTGTTTTTTTTCCATTTTTAATATTTGGTTAAACAAAAATACATCTCTGTAAACAAACCCAAGACAAGGATCTAACAAAACCAAACAAGCAAGAAAACAAAACATGGGCTTCTCCACTCCCAAGCAGTGGGCCTGGACCACCTTGCCCACCCCCTCAGGCACAGCAGCCTCACCTCCCACAGGGGTGTGATCATACACTTTCCCTTTACCTGAGCAGCTGGATCACACTGTTTTCCCCCCACAGGAAAGGTGACATACAAGGAGAGGAAAGTAGCCCCAGAATATTTTAAAACATCTTTGCATATTGTGCACTGATCCGTTGGCTTGCAGTTTCCATGCAGACGGGGTTTTCTTCAAAAGTGTGACTTTAAATCAGCATAGAAAATGTTGCTGTTGAGATTTATTTTTTCCCCCTCTTGAAGAAATGGCTTCAAGTCACGAGCAGAATGCCTGCAGGCTGCGCATCCTGCCTGTAAAGTGTTTAAAAACTCTGCCAGCTGGTATTGGTCATTGGAATGTGTTACGAAATAGGACTTTTTATAGAAACGTTGGGTCTTTAAAACAGAAGACCCATTTGCCCTTGACTGTGGGAGGCTGTGCACAAAAGGCTGCAAAATGGTGCTTGCCAGATGTCCGGGGGTCGGTGAACAGCATCATCCCATTGTCGTGTGGCCTCTGTTAGGAAGGTGCGATTTCGATGGTGTCTCAGCTTCAAGCACCCGCTTGTGCATTTGCAGAGCTCTCAAGAAAAATAACTGAGAAAAGGTAGTTAGAACTCCTCCTTTCACAAGCTCAAACACCAGCAATGAGACATTCCTGCACAATGGAGCAGGATCCTTCAAGCTCCAACACGTCCCAGAGATTGCTGTTTAAGTGAGACATCCCACATGTAAAGGAAGGAAGCAAACAGCAGCTCGGCCAGGAAGTGCTAAACACAACAAAGTCTTCCAAATTCAGTGTTGCCTCCCCCTGCTGTGGAAGGCATGCTGAGCTACAGCTCACCCAGGTGGCCGGGCAACAGCTGGCAGAGATTCCTCTCGGCATCTCCATGTGTAGTCACTCTTCCCCACAGAGGGGAGGAAAAAAGCCATTTGTCCATTAATGGAATGTTTGTTGGCCAGCACTAAGAGGTTGGTTCAACTATGAGGCCAGGGTCTCTCTTAACACCCAAATCTTCCACATTATCAGCTAGTAACTATAAAAAGGGCAAACAAAACCTGACTACTATAAAGGCTGCTCTCCTCAGCCAATTTTTTCTTTGTAACTTTACCTCTTTCTGGAACATCTTGCGTGGCATTTGCAACTGTGCGCTAGACTTCTGGAAAGAGGAAAATAAAAAAATGAATGAATTCCTCTCATAACCCCTTCAGTTTTATTCCTCTCTAAGCAGCCCCTAAACTACTGGATGACCATACAGAAAACCAAAACAGATGTTAAAAAAGAAAAAAAACCCTACAGCACAGTACAAAGAAACCCAAGCAGACTACAGCCTCTCTCCAGTCCAGAAACCCAATACTCCGTAATTAGCCTGTGCTTGCTGTTTCCACATCACCTTAGCCAGCCACATGCTGCCGAAAAACCGCTCACCACATACATAAATCCCTAGAGACAATGGGGAAGAATTCTCTAGCTACCCAGAGAACCTCTTGAAAGATGACACTTTTTGTTACTGTTTTCAACTTACTGGCACAAACTGTCACTAAGAAGCAGAGGGTCATGCTGAGCACTGTACCATTCCTAGTGTTTGGGAGTGTCCTGAGAGACCCTTAGGGAATTGCAAACACCATGATTACCTATTTTGGAAGGAGAGACTTGTGAAGAGGCAACAGTGTGCTCGACCCCTGCTCCTCCCCCGCAAGCCCTGGAAGGAGCAGTGTTCCACCACACACAGCCTTGAACCACGCATGTGGGGAAAGGGAGGCCAGAGGCTTCCAGACACCCTAGCCCCAAGGCCCGGTTTTAAAGAGTGCAATGCCTTCTAGCTAGCCAAAGGGCACGCAGCTCATCTGCCTTTGCAGTTGATTGGCTTCCAGTTGCCTCCACTCTGCCCTCAATTCTTCCCCACCCACCACCCCCAGTGTCCTACACTGTTGCCCTATTGCACCAAGGAAGGAAGAGAAGAGCCTAAGAAAGGAAATTCCAGATGGGAAGAGTCAGGGCACCCATTATCCAAGTTTCAGGATGTCAGAAGTTCAGTAAGGGGAAGAGCTGTAGTGGGAGGAGAGAGTCAGGCCAGGTCACACGTCAGCTCTCCAGCTCTGATGTGCTTCCACCTCCTCTGGCACCACCAGCAGGAGTTCACAGTTCTTTCCTCTCAGCTGGTGTTTCAAAAATTTCCTAAAAGAGGAGAAATAAGTGCTACTGAATGTAGAAACTTTGTCATCTTCTACAACTAAATGCAACTAACTCTGCAAATATGACAAGAAATGGGAGGAAACTCCCCCACATTGTCTAGTTATTTTCTGACATAAACCACACAACCAACCATTAAACTTGCCACACAAGATTCAACACACCTCTAAAATTAAAATTTTCACAGAATCAGATAGACATGATCTTAACCTCACCAGAGAGAAATCTATAAGATGTCACTTTCCAATTTTCCAAAGTGTCAAAAATAGAATTAAAACCAAGTTCATTTTCTTCAGATCTCCAAGATCAAGAATCCCACTGTATTTTTAAATAATTCCAACAAATCTGGAATACTTGTGGAAAAAAAAACCCAAACCATCATTTAGATGTCCTTATCGCAGGTCACAGCAGCAGCTTACCACCTGGTCATCTGACATGGTTGTACAGCCCCCTTCTGCCCATAAGCTTTTTCTAATACCAAACTTGGATCATCTAGAATAACTATGAAAGTCAAATCAGCATTTTCTGATATCTTTTAGCCCAGATTTCCAAAATTCCCTACATAGGAAGTCCTTAGGAAGAACAGTAGGATAAAATCCACCAGAAGCTCTGCACAGTAGTTCCAGAAAGGTGTTACTTTATCCCAGATGTTCCTAAAAGGCTGACATTCACTTTACCAAGACTTTAATGGCATGGCAGGCTCTGCAAATACTGCTCATGTGCAACTCCTACCTCAGAACAAGTCTAGTCAAGACAGCAAAGCTGCTAGTAGGCTTTAGAACAGGAGGGAATGGAAGTCAAACAGCAACTAAGAGCAAGTGAGACTTTACAGTCAAAGTAATTACAGCAACCATCTCATGTTAAGACTAAAGAGGGGAGGGGAGTCAGGCCAGAAGTGCAGCATATGCTTACATGGGCAAGTGATTTCTAGCAAGCAGCTATCTCTGCTGTCAGGGATAACGCTGCACTTCTAGTCTGGAAAGCCTTTTTTTCGGAAACATACATAGAGATTACTTAAAGAGGCAAAGGAACGCTGATACTCTTATGTTTGAGGAGAGAACAAGGCATGGCACATCTTGTTGCAGGTGTCACCCACTAATACCTGACTTGGCCTCTACCTTCATCACTAGTGACAGAGCCAGCCACTTAACAGATGAAGTCAGGTTCTCCTGAGCTTGCAGAGATGACCACTGCTGAAAGAATTTCCCTAGCTTCATGCATATTGGCTATAAATCCAAGTGGGGCCACAAGAAATTTATTACTCTCAAATGTTTGCTATTGATGGTCAACCATAAATGTTTCAATTGCTAGCTCTTTAAGGACAGATTCCCCACCTCCAACAGGGAAGGATTTGAGGAGGAACAGGATACAAAAAATCCCACCTGAGCTCACTTTCACCTCCAATCCACTCGGGCACCTTGAGTTTGGAGTCTAGGTTGTAGTAGGTGCCTCCCACCTCCCGGACACAGATCCAGTGCTGTCGCTTGAGGGGGAGCTTCAGGGGGCCCCAGCAAAGGCTGGAGGGCAGATTCATGATGAAGCCCATCACATTAGACAGAGCAATAACATTAACATCCCTGAAAGAGTGCAGAAAGTAAGACAGCAATAAGATTATATTCTGGTACTTTAGCTTCAGTTCTTTTACAAACAGCAGCCATTTCTAGAATTACACAAGTCCTCAGTACCTGCGCTTATCCCACCAAACTGCCTCATAGCCTTTGGTCTGAAGTGCTGCCATGATCACATTCACATCATAGTTTCCGTTTCCCAGCATGCTCTTCTTGTGGGGTGTCACCATCGTGTTGGGAGACAGCCTGCAAACAGAACAGGAGACTGCTCTAGCTGGCATTTGCAGAACCTATATTCCACAGTTGGAAGGGGCTACTTGCTGTACAACTTCAAGTCTGTTTTTAGGGTTTTGTGGTTAAACACAAACTATTCAGTTCCCCCTTATCACTCAACAAAGGGGCTAAGAGGCCTAAATAATGCATTAAGAATAACTTTGATGTACAAAGCCTTCAAAGATCCAAGCTTTGATGTGAAAGAGACAGCAAAGCAGGAAGTTCTTTTTCCCTCCCTTGAACTGGTACTTCTGAAGGATGCTTCAATTACTTTTTCCTGAATTCAGGGTTGGAGTAAATGTCAGTTTGCCACTGAGTTCAACAGTCAACACCACTCTTGAAGACTGGATAACAAAAGGCAGGGTGGGTTGGCTGCAGAAAAGGTTGTTCTCCCACCCCCCACTGGTAAATGAAAGTATTCAGACACAAAGCTGTGAAGATATTTGTGTTTGGGAGATTTCTAAAGCATTGCCATTGCTGTAAGAAAAAAATATCTGTTGCTGTAGATACCTAAAGAGATAACCTTATTGCAAACAAATCTCTTCAGCTTTAATCCATAAGCTTGCCTAGACATCACTTGCATTACTACATCTAAAAATCTAGAATCAGAGTCCAGCATGTTACATGCAAAAACTTAAGACAGCCTTTGCACAAATGACGATAATGGATGCAAGACATAATACATGGAGACATGTGGCAACAAAGTTAGTTACTTTTACTATTTTCTGTTTTCTTCTCCCAAAAAATTTTGTAAGGGGGGAACAATGAAGGGGGTGAATTATTATGGTGACAGACAGGCTTCAACAGCTGGAAGAGAAAGCACAGGGGGAAACTGGGAGCAAAGAACAGCAACATCATGCAACACCAAACCAAAGAAACTCAAGCCTGAGATCAGTTCTCTTGTGATGAGCTGCTCTTCTGGTTGGCAAGGACTTCATTAGCTCTGCAGGCACAAGGTTCAGATGTTCCATATCATCCAAATATCCAGGTTTCACCTGCCTCTCCCTCACATCACCTCCATCCTGCAAAACTCCTGATGTTCCTGAACATTTTTCACTCAGCCTTCAGTACAGTGCAAATTCTGCAGGCTTATTTCATCCAGTGAAAATCCCTCAGCCCTTCTGCATTCCCCCCTGACAACATAACTTTTGACAAGAAGAAGAAAGCAGTGGATTAAGGAAGGAGTTTCAGACCAACCAAGGCTAGAGAGGATACAGACAGGTGGCTTTTTGCATCAGCTGTGAATTTTCTTGCAGTGGAGCAGACTGCAGCAGAACAGCCTGGGAAGTGACTACAGAAGGGAGGAGTCCAAAACAATGTGGCGATAGGAAAGGCTATTAATACCCATCATGGGCATTTCCGAGCAGTGACGTTTTCACAGAATCTTGATTTCTAGTCTCCAAAGCTCTGCTATATTTTACTAATCACAGAGATGTGACTGTAGCTTATCACAGTTCTTCCAGCATCTCCATCAAGCAAGATCACTTGGCTACAACTAATTCCTCAAGATCAAGGTGCTTCAACCTATTAACTCTCATGAGTGCCAGCGAGCTAGGAAAGCCTTCCAATTAACAGAGCCCTTTGGGTTGCACAAGCACCCTCTTGTGGCACAGTTTTCCAGAGACAAGTTTATTTGCGAGCTGAAAGAACACATTTATCTTTGTTCTTACCCATAACTTTCAGAGCCCCAGAAGTGAGATGAAGAGACTAGCAGAGGTGATACACAAAAAACTGGTACCCATGAGCAAACTTTCATGAGGAATTGCCTCAACATCTCTACTCATACCTAAGTAGGGTCCACAATCATCATCTGAAGGATTCTGATTAGACAAGAAATTAAGTTGCCTCCCCAAAGTTTGTTTGTTTTTTTAATCTAAACACTAAGCTGAGGAAGATTGACAAAGTTGGACAGAAATTCAGGTAATAATCCTCCTGAGCTTTCTAAGAAAGAAACTTTCAACATGTTGTCTTAACACAACGGGCTCCAAGATTCCTGTATGCAGTTGTCATTCCTAATCTGGTCTCAATACACAAACTCCAGTGAAGCAAAGAAATTTTCTGTGTATCTCCACGCAACATTTGGAACATGCAATCTTACTTCCTGCAACAAAAAGCCAGAGAAACAGCAAAAAGATATTTCTTGTATTAGAAGAAAGGAGAGAGGAAGGTTACAAAATCAGAGGGGAGCCTGGATCAAGTTTTGGCATACACTCGAGATGCTAATTGTCAGACTACACTGGCCTTATGCAATGAGATGCACCAAAAGGGAAACTAATGATTAAGCAATGTGGTTCAGTCATTCTTCAAGGGATGTGGTAAAAGCTACAGAAAGCTTAAGACTACTTGTGATTTTGTTACCTTGTCAACACCAGGTTTAAAAATCACAGCTCACAACGCCTTTGTAGCTTATTATTCATCGGTCCTTTATCAACACACAGAATATGACTAGACACAGGAAAGAAATATGGAGAAGTGATGTATAAAGGGCAACTAAATCCACACTTTTTAAAGGCAAGTCAGAGCTAGACATGAGTAGTAACCCAACAGAGATGCAAAGGCAGTAGCAATTCTTATGCGTAGCTTACAGCTCATTCATTTCTGAGAGGAATTTCCATGTATACTTCCACACTAACCTGTGTATCTTGATCTGAATATTAGGATGGAATAATACTAGGTTGGAATCAAAGACAAATTCTTCCTTCTTGCACAAGAGGTCTGACAAGATTAACATCCCAGCTCTTTCTGAGAGGTTTCATGCTGCACACTAAATTCTCTCTCACCAAACCCAATGAAAGACGACTAATTAGATCATTGCACTCCTTCAACCACATGAACTGCCTTTGTTTGCTTCAGGCCAATACCAATCCATCTGTGATTAAGATTCTGACAATTGCTGCTCTGGAACAAAACCACTGCATCTTTACATTGGACAAAGAGTGCCTTGAGCCTGCCGTGGACCAGCTCCACTTCACCAAAAGGAATTTTATTTACAATGCTATCTTAAATAGCATTTCAATCTGCTATTTGCTGTTGTCCATCACCACATTTCTTTTGCCAAAGACAGGCATGCATTTGACAGGTCAAGCACCCGCTCCATAAATCTGCCACTTTTCAGAACAGCAGCAACAGGCAGACAGCTCCCTGCTCATCAGCACAGGCCAATGCCTTGTCCAACAGTACCTGTATAACTGCTGTCCGAAGCACAATTTCCTACCTGCCACAAACAAGATGATGCTGTTAACTGCTGGTATCAGGTATTCAAGTGTAACTTAGGCAATGAATACAATATCCACAGATTGAGTATCAGAGACCCCACTTCCTGTTTGATTACTTTGCTTCATCAATGAAAGGTCATCACAATTTTCAAAGGCATGCTCAGAATTTCCACAAAACACTGGAACAGCATAGGTGTTTGCATCTGACAAAATATGAGCTATTGTACAGGCCACATGAATAACATTATTCCAGCAAAACTCAAAAATGTTTTTATTAATTATTTGAAGCTGCTGGGAAACATTTATAGCAATGCCAGGGAAAATATAGATCTAGCTACTGAAACTAAATCCAGTCTGACAGAGTTCACAGGGTCTTGCTGTATGGAAAAAACCCCATGATATTTGAAGAACTTCACTTAACTGCTTGACTAAGGAGCCACTCTTTTGGCAAAGCTCCTAATTTCAAAAAAATTTCTAAATGTTGCAGTGCTAAATCAAGAAGTTTTTATGATGACCCATTTGTCATTCCTACCACGTTCACTCTCACAAGGCAATCACAAAGTCCGTTATTATCATCAAGAGAACATACCCACATGAGGCAGGGGCAAAAACGTGAAAAACTGGTAGAAGATGCATTAAGGTGGGTGGGGGAGAAGACAGCAAACAAACCACATGACAGCATGTGCAATAAAGCCCTTGGACCCAAAACTGGCAGCCAGAAAAGTTTAAGAAACAAGTAAAAAGAAAGAAAATTTCTGCATGGAGAGGGAAGGAAAAAGAATAGGGAGGAGGAAATTTTAAAAAGAAGCTACATTCAGTTCAAAGCACTGGCACACTTCCAACCCTTCCTTTGCTCTATTTTTCCCCCCAAATAAGATCTGAAAATTCCTCTGAGCAACAGAGGACGAGGGGAAGCTAACATCAGCGCAGAGAGTATCCTACCTCTGAAAAATCTCCTGCAGGGTTTCTCTAGTGAAGGCATTGCTGTCCTGGAAGACATTGTTGAGGGCATGGAGGGCACACAGCTCTCTACGCTGCTTCTCATGGTAAATATGCAGTGGCGGTAGCTGGGGTGGATCTGGTGATTCCGATTTGGTCTTGTCACCTTTCCATGGCACGCAACTCATTTTTGCGTAGGGTGGATGGAGAGTAGGTGGTGAGAAACGAAGGAGGCTGAAGTTTCTTCCTCCACAGTCACAACAGCAGCCCACCGCCCCTTTCTTCTGCAGGCTAGCACTGCTTCCAGCTCACAAAACCTCCTCTTGTGCTTCAGCTTATTCAATAATTGCCTCTGATGGCTGGTTTTAAAAACCACATAAAGATCTGCAACATGTTTTTCCTCCCTCCTCCCATATCCCATAAAATGCAATACTTCTCTCCCCCCGCCCCCCCCC